GGGGTTGGGGGTTGGGGGTTGGGGGTTTGGGGTTTGGGGTTTAGGGTTTAGGGGGGTTTGGGGTTTAGGGTTTAGGGTTCCTGACACTGCGTCTGGTTCCACCCAGCCGCCTCATGATGCGGCTAAGATTCATAATTCATAAGAGCCACGGTTTAGGGTTTAGGGTAGTGGCTGACTAGCCTGGGCCATAGGCATTATGTCCATGCCCTCTTCTGATTCAGAAGGTGAAACCCCTGCTGCAATAAAGCCATGAAGGCTAGAGACCTGAGGCCTAAACCTTAACAGCCCCCATCCCGGGCTATATTGAGAACGCTGTGACGACATCGCTGTGTAGCGGTTGGAAGAGTGTTTCGGGACATGTCATAGTAGAGTATTCATGTAGGGGCAATAAGGAATGCTGTCAGTACTTGTTCAGACGGCTACCTTGACATCTTGAGTGGGGCTCCTGTGCCACTCTGCAGGATTTAAAGTGAGCCCCCACACCCCCAGAGCACTGGAACCTACAAAAAATGTTAGGAACCCCTGTAGCCCTTACAAGCCCTTCAAAATGATATGACAACCAAACCAGAATTGCGAAACATGCTGTGCGGCCTGCTTTTGCCTCTTTGCTTCCACCTGAGGCTTTTGTAAATCAGGGTTCCCGGATCTAGAGCTTAGGGCTAAAGGCACTTTAAGGTTGTGCTGCAACAGACAGAGGATGCTGATATCAGCACGCCTTAAAAAAGGATTATGAACCATGTGACGCCCTCTGGGACACCTCAAAAGGTTCCGAAACTTGAAAGCCCCAAGTAAAACCTGACACTCTACACCATGGCGTGCTTGCCTTCCGTATGCGGCTGCAAACTCCAACGAACATCCAAACCCGAACCTCCCAAACCCTGACATGCTCAGTTTGACCCTATAGAACACGCAATAGCAACCTCCATGGAAACCATGGCATTTAGTTCTCTGCCCCGGGTCCTAAGTTCCTCGAGGCATTTTCGTGTGACAGATCGCGAGGATCAAGGCGTAGGGTTTAAAGGACTCCTTGAGTATACCATAACCATATGGGAGTTTCCGAACATCAGGGGGCACCTTATTTTGGGGTCCTTATAATAAGGCTGCTATTTAGAGTACTATTTTGGGGTCCCCTATTTTCGGAAACACCCATATCAACCCTGAAATGAAATTCAGTGGGACCCTTAGGCTAAGGATCCTTTCAAGCATCCTGCGGTTTAGGGTTTAGGGTTTAGGGTTTAGGGTTTAGGGTACCCCTGAGCCCTAAACCCTCAACCGTTCCTCTCCGGATTCGCCAGATGCTTGGATGGTTTGTACGGAGTTCCGGGTTGAAGACTGAGGGCCAGGAGTTCTGGGCAATCAGGGTTTAGGGCTCAGGGGGAGTCATTTCCAGAACACGGCTTAGGGGTTAAGGGTTTAGGGTTTAGGGTTTAGGGTCATTTCCAGGATAGGGCTTTGGGGTTAAGGGTTCAGGGTTGAGGGTTAGGGTTGTACTTTACTCCTTGTGTTCATGCGCATCAGCACGGGTGTTATATGCCGTGGCCATAGCAAGCCCTTGTTCTTCAACATATGAGGGGCTGTTCGTTTTTATTTCTGCTTTCTGTTGCTTGATAGTGTTGCGGTCGCACTACTATCTAGCGAAGTTGTTCTGAAGGTGTGCCTTCTGGAATTGCGAACAGTCAGTCCCGTTGTCGTTGGGCTGTACCACTGAGACATATTAATCACATTCTTTGGCAGCGTTTTGCTGCCTTTGCGACAAGATAGCAGCTTAGAGTCCTAATGCGAAGACATGCAGGGTGGAACGTTGTAGTGTGGTGTGTCACATCCCGTTTCCAAGTCGACCACTGATAACCCTAAACCCTAAGCCC